GGGTTAAAGTTGATTGCAGGACTTCCCCAAATGCGATCTGCTATTGATTTTGGGCACTGCATTAGTCGTACAGCCATTTGCCAGTATGATTGATGGGGTAAGTATAGTAGTTTTCACATATAAAACAAGTAATGGTCGTCCAATGTAATTCAAAAAGTTAGAAGCGGACAATCCTGTCACTCTGAAAGTCTCTCGTGCCCGCACTTTATACTCTTGGCACACTCTGGTTGAGAGTGGAGATAGGAACGGTGAGGCGAGGGGATAGGAGATAACTCGATGAGGCAAAAGAGCGATTGCGCGAGTCCTGGTCAGCTGACAAGCGTCCGACAACCCGCTTAATGAAATAGACTGATATCATAAGTTGTTTATCAGCTCGAGCTAATCAGATGACGTGCGGTGGGCTAGCTGGCCTAGCTCCAATGCGTTTCCTCCACCATGTTATGGATTTATTGCACTGAATAAGACTGTGCGGTTTACTTTCAAACTCATAAAAATGCAAAATCGAAAGTTTCGTTATGGACTCATACAAGACTAGAGGATTTTTAGTTGCAGAAACAATGGACATACTGTTAAGTCACTTCTGATGAAAACAATCATGATTCTCCTTTAGGTGTCAAATGATATACCACGTCTACTCATCAACCTGGAAAAGGCGGGTCGAGCTGGCTTGTTTGAACGCTTTATGGGAATGGAAGGACTTCGATATGGAATGAACGACAACAAAAGGTCAGTATTCTGCCTACAAAGCTCATTCTGCGGAGAGGGAGCTGATTATGAGAAGAAGTGTGAATCGAAGCGCTTAATAAGCTTTGCCATTCTTGCAGGTTCAGGCTGTTAATTCATAACGCTTTTTTATATAGGAAGAGGAGAAGAGAGGGAGCTGTGAGGTTTTATACCTACTTGCACTTCCTTTTCTTGTTCCTTTCCTGAATAAGAGTGCAACGCCCAAATTTCTTTCAGTCATTCATCAAAATTCAATCATCAGAAGAGGATTGGCCTGAGCTG